ACCCGAAGGTTGCAGGAACAGCAACTCATATTCCGCTTGGGAACCCTGCAGCCTAATGGTATCAATGTGGACTTCACAAGCTTCAAAATCTCCCCTCCCGCTACCGCATCCCAAAACCAGCCCAGCTCGTCCCCGCCTCCCTAACCTGTCCTTCCTCCCACCTATCCCCTCCTCCCACCTCAAGCCCCACCCCCATCTCCTACCTACCAACCTCTTCCCGCCCCCTTGACCTGTCCGTCCTCCCTGGACTGACCTATCTCCTCCCTAACTCCCCACCTACACTCACCTTTACTGGCTCCATCCCCGCCTCTTTGACCTATCTGTCTCCTCTCCACCTATCTTCTCCTCTATCCATCTTCTATCCGCCTCCCCCTCTCTCCCTATTTATTTCAGAACCGCTGTCCCCTCCCCCATTTCTGAAGAAGGGTGTAGGCCCGAAACGTCAGCCTTCCTGCTCCTCTGATGCTGCTTGGCCTGCTGTGTTCATCCAGCTCTACACCTGGTTATCTCTGATTCTCCAGCATCTGCAGTTCCTACTATCTCTTTACCAGGATGTTGCCTGGATTGGAGTGTATTAGCTATAAGGAGTGGTTGGACAAACTTGGATTGTTTTTGCTAGAGCATTGGAGCTGAGGCATGACCTGATAGGAGTATATAAAATTATGAGAGGCATAAATAGGATGTATAGTTGGAATTTTTCTTTCAGGGTGTAAGTGTCAAATATGAGCGTCATAGGTTTAAGGTGAGAGGGGAAAAATTTAAAGGAGATGTGCAAGACAAGGTTTTTACACTGAGGATGGTAGGTGCCTGGAACATGCTGCCAGGGAAGGTGGTAGAAGCAGAGACAATAGCGATGTTTAAAAAGTATTTAGATAGACACATGAACAGAGAGGGAATTGAGGGATTTGAATCATGTGCAAGTAGATGAGATTAGTTTAGAATGGCATTATGGTCAGCACAGACATGGTGGGCCAAAGGGCCTGTTCTATGTTCTGGGGTATTTCTGTTATAAATCTGTCCAGGAATCCATGGCTCCAGCTGCTAAGAAGATCTTTGTAGAAACTGTGATCCCTTTTAAAGCACTGAGTGCTGTATTATGTGGTTTAAGTGTCCAGTAGGTACTTGGATGGCTACTTTGAAAGGGTCGGTATGAAATGTTAATGGGGAGCGGTAATGGTATTAGGTGGATTAGGTGGTAGGGTGCTAAATGAGTGGGCTGCATAGGATCCAGGTAAGTCTATGAGCACTTGGGGTGGCTCTGGACGTGTCAGGTTGCGTAGAGGATGGGTGTTGGGGGGAGGAGTTTGGTGAGGGGTGGCATTCGATTGGTACTGTTACTTGGAATTTGGGAAGGTGATGGTCAGTGTTGGGTCAGGTCCTGACATAAGGGAGGAAATTAGGTTAGACCAGGGAAGGTGGCTGTCCAGTCAGGGAGGTTAGGGACAGAGTGATGTCAGGGATTGGGGGTTGTAGTTGGGTGGGATGTCAGTGGTGGTTCGGGGTTTGGTTTAATAACTACCCAACTGTTAGTATAAGTTTTTAATCCTCTAACTTTTCCTGCATAACTATTAAGCTTACAGCCATTAGAACCCTCTGAATTCTCCAAATTTATGGGGCTTTTTCAAAAGCTTCCAAATGTGGGGGAATTGCCCATCACCAATCTCCACTTCCTAGGCAATTCCCACAGAGTCAGGAATTCCGCACAGCCCTGATGCGCAACGTTAGCCACTGTTGCTCCTACAACTATCCGCCATCAAAATATCTCGGCTTATATAGTTGCCTTCAAAAAGGAAGTTCCAAGGTGTGACAGAACAGCCCTGTTTGAATAAAAGAGCCACAGACACCTTTAAAACATTCAGTACACCAAAAGTAGTTGTAAAGCACATACGTGAATAAGCTAGGGTAGGGTGTACACATACTATATATGCTTAACATGCCCAATCACAAACATTACCATTAATTACTATTGACAATAACTTTATATGGAAGATAGTTAACAGTTTACAAGAGCAATACTTCATTATTTCTTGTCACAGAAAATCTTAAACCTGTAACCTCAAACTGACAGAACACACCATAGTGTCATAAAGTAGTAAAACTATTAGAAATTAGCAATATTTTGCAAATTCTTCTTTATTTATGTCCACTTATGTTATGACTGAAGATGTGATCTAGATTAGTGAACATTTCACATCAACTAGAAATTTACATGTTAGAAAGTGCTCAAAGCTGAGCCTAAATTTGTATTAATTTAATATCTCTGACAATGCTAATGCACCTGAAAATATTTGTGGAAATTATGTTTTCTAAAATCAGTTTGAAACTCCCATTTGGTGAGTGTGGTTAGCTCTCCCTCTGTGCCAGCACCCTTTTATTGCTTGCAGGAAATGATAAAATCCTCTACCAACCAGAACTACAATCATACATCAGCTAGTTTAAAAATGATCAATGTTCATGTCATGCCTTTCAGTCAGTTATTCAGCTTGCAAATTCTTCAACTATTTTTCCGTATTATTTTAAAGGGAAGATATGAAAACTATTTATCCAAACCATTAGATATGTTGTTATGCAAGCTTCACTTGAAATCAAAACTAAGTGACTGGAACTTTTCCCAATCTCTACAAATAGGAGCTTGTTGTTTTTCTTGCCAATGCCCAAGTAATATGTCAAATTAATAATTTAACCCTTTGTTAATTGGTTAACTTGTCTTCACAAGTGTGCATGTACTCAAAAGTGAATCTTACCTTTGAGATACAGCAGTTATCAGTGCTAAAATGTTGGTAGTTTTAATGACCAGTTTAAAAAAAGGACCTGTTACTATATTATAAGGGAGGAGTTCATTTATTGAGTTACTATGTGATAAGGAAGTCTGCCCAGATAGGGTGATATCTATTGTAACAGTAACACATCCACCTACCCCATGATCTCCATCCTCAGCCCTTCCCCCCAGCCTGAGAGATCGGACTGCTGACAGGAGACTTCTTCAGTTCAATTCTCATTAACTGGCTCTCAGTACGAGATTCATATTTTGCCACACCTCCTGCTCCAATGGCTTGCACTCCTGGTTTTCCTGCTTTCATACCTTTTGACATGGGGATGCGTGTCGGTGTGGGCCGTTGTGTTGACCCCTCCTGTGCTGCCTAGAAAAAGACAGAGAAAAAGACTCTTTACAAATTCTGCCACCATTAGTTTATGAAAAAAAGTTTTGATTGTTTATATTGCCTTATAGAACTGAACATTTACTGTAATGGTGAGCCCATTTTCTGTGATTGAGCATCCTCAGAAATAACACCTAATATTATTGTACCAAAATGAAGATCCTCCAGTGTTCAAGACAGGATCAAATACAACCCAGTAAATATGGAACAAAATATCAGTTCTACTGTTCTGTCTCCCGATCTTCACCTTCATTTAATATACTTTGACAAAATTAAGTGAAATAACAGATCTCACTTAATTTTGTGTGAATTGGCAATGCTACAAGAAGCTAGTCACTGGCGAATATAAATAAGCGTCATTAAACAATTAATTACAGTAGTTTTAAAGAGAGGATATCTGCTGGAACCGTAGAAGACTCTGTCTCCAGTTGCATGTGATCTGATGTCACTATGACAGCTCCTTAGTCATGAGCTCAGTAGTTATTCTTAGAGTATTCTTGCATTCCTGGATGATGATTTTTAACAAATGAGATCAAGACACAACAGTTTTTTAAATTGTCTAGCCAACCTCGCAGTTGATAGCAGACAGTTCCATTCATTTAGTTTCTACTGGATTTTGGGAGTGCAGAAATGGCCATACCAGGGTAATAGCCAGAGTGAAAGAGTGTAACGGTTACATAAGGATTAAGGCATTCTCTGTGGAGTTCAGACCATGATTGAGCAAATTAGCAGCTAAACAAAGCACATGATATAGTAATGAAGTTTAGTCAATCAGATTTATCAGTTAAGGAGGAGCAATGATCAAAAATAAATTGCATATGCAGAGTCCTGTTTCAACTGCCTAGTAATTAAATATTAGCTGTAGATCAAAAACTATGAGGCACTGTTTAAGTACAGCATATCTTAGATGATATCTCCATTATTGTCAATAATATTGTCTTTCTAGAATATGAATAAAAACCAATGGTCTCTTAACATTTTAAATTTCAAAATTTCTATACCATTTCAACATGATGTACATGTTTTATAAAATTTATATACATTAATCCCATTTCATTCTCTTTCTCTATCACGACCCATCAGACTACATAATTAAAAAAACCCTTGAATTCAATGATAACCCCCACCAACACCATTTTCAAAAGTTTAAAGCATCTCAAAGCATTTTTCAACTGAAATAAGTAGTTCTGAAGTGCAGTGACTGTTGCATTGCAGGAAATTACAGCAACACATTAGTATACTGCAAGGTCCTACAAACAGCCTTAAATAAATGACAAGGTCATCAGTTTTGGGAGTTGGATAAATGTTGCTCAGGAAACTGGGAGAACACTTTGTTTCCTTTTCAAATAGTACTTTTAATTCCATCAGAAAGTGCAAATGTGACCTCAGTTTAAAGACTTATCTAAAATACAGCACATCCTGCAGTGCATCATTCCCTCAGTATAGCGTTGAAAGTGTCAGTGTGGATATATGCTGAAGGTCTTTGAATAGCATTGACCGTCTAACACAATGGTGAGTTTACTACCCATGAGCCAAATCGGGCAACTACAATAAATGAAGACTGGTGGGTGGGGGGAATGATGGTTGCTGACAGGAAAAGAACAAACCTATATTGTTGCCACATATATATTTTATATCAGATTTTTCAGTGGGTTTATATCAGTGGGTCTTTAGCAAATTCTATGGGTCTTCTCTTCGGATAATCTCTCCTCATTCCCTCAAGCATCAAAAATGCTTATATCTTAAAGCTCAGCTTGATCAATGTTTTAAAAAACAATTAAACAATATTACCACTTTAAGTTCAGTCAGTTTCTAATATTTGCTGGTCTTTTGCTAATCTAATGTCATTTCAAAACAGGCACGGTATAGAACACAATGTTTACCCATTTATCCTGCAGAAATAATTGATGGTTAAATGTTGTCTATGGAATTTGTTAGAAACCCCTCCTTGCTATTGCCAGTCTGCATGTAACCATTCAGGTAAATCAAAATCATTGCATTTATTTTATGAAAAGAACAAGCAAGATCACAAAGTAAAGAATGTGCAAAAAGCAAGAACAGCTGCTAGGAAAAAATCCAATGGCGAACAACAGATGATGTGTGAAATCAGTAAAATCTATTAAAATGCAAATCACAGCCAATCAAATTGCTGTAAATATTTTTCTGAAAATACTTTGACTCTGTTTGGTCTTCTACGGATAACTGAGAACTTGTATGGAGAATAAAATTTATAACATAAAGACCAAAAAATAGACTTTAAGATTACAAAGTGTTATCTGTATCTGAAGTGCCACGAACATTTTTCATTAGAAACCTTGAATACCATAAGGAAAGAGGTTATGGAGATTCCCCAGTGATTAGTCTGTCAGCTCAAAGTCCAACAATGAAGCGTTATGTGGCAGTGTATACATGGCCTGTGGAGAAGTCTCTGAGCATGTATTTCAGGATGACTCCCCTCTGGCTAAACTGAACATCTATATTTTTTGGTTATTGGCGGCGAGACTGGTCATTTCGAGAGCAAACCAGGTTTGTATCCTTCATCCCACTGTTGCTCATTTATAAGTCAAAATTTACTGCAACAATTATCCCCAAGGAAACTATTTCAAACAGCAAAGCTTTTGTTTTTCTTTATATAAATACTAAAATAAGGCAACACGTGAACTCTTCAACTTTCTCAAAAGCAAAAAGAAACTCTATACTAAGGCAACTGTTTCTTTAGGAAATATGAAGTAAAACACGTAACAAATGAAATTTTACAATTAAAATTTTCAGCATTTTCAAAAATGATTACAATACCATACATTTCTTTATATGTAATCATTGAACTTGAAAGCAACTCAAGCGCCTCTGAGTTATTAATTTATGTTGAAGGCACATCTCATTCCTCCCCACCCCAGAAGAAAAGTTGATTGCAATAAGAATAATTGCTGTAATTAATCTGAAAGCCATCTGTGAGAACACTTAAAGAGACTACAGCAACATCAATCTTTGGACAATATTGTGCTATAAAATTATGTTCACCAGGAATTAAATTGAATACAGAACCTTCAGTTTAGGAATTCACACACTAACTCCACCCTTTTGTCTGTCCAACTGTTCTTCTTTCTCTCTTTGTGCTCTATCTGTACCTATTGTTTACTCCTTATCCCCTCTCCTATCTTCTGCATAAAATGCAACGTTTTCCTAGCTACCATCAGTTCTGAAGAATGGTCACCAGACACGAAACATTGACCCTGATTTCTCTCCATGGATGCTGCCAGACCTGCTGAGCTTTTCCAACAGAAATTTCTGTTTTTCTTTCCATTTCTATTTGTTCCTCTTCGTTCAAGAGACTCCCTACAACTTTTTTTTTGACCAAACCTTTAGTCAACTATCCTAAGATCTCATGTTCAGCATCAAATTTTGTGGTCATTTACTTTATTAGTTATGGGTGCTATATTAAAGGGACCATATCAAAAAGAAAGTTTTTGTTGTTGACTCTCAAATGCAAGAGATTTTCATTTCATCAGTCTGAGCTTACTTTGAACCCAAATCCAGAGAAGAACAAGCATTTGTTGCTCATTGCCCCTTACCATATCCAGAGAGAATTTTAAGATTTAAGTTAGAAACAGATCTCCATAGATTGAGTTTTATATGCACTAGGACAAAATTTTGCAGTGCCAGTGAAGTTCACAGTGAAGACCCAATGAAAATCCATCCAGAAGTCAAATGAGAGAATAGTTCAGCATCTAACCCCATAATTGCAGAAGGAGGTTGTACTGCCGGTAGGCTAAAAAGGAAGTGGCAAATGGGCACTCAACCCATTTGAAAGCATTCCAGCAAGGCTGAAAGAAGATGGAAACAAAGTTGGAAATGCTGTTTCAACACTATATGCATGTTGGCTGCACTAAAAAACTCTTTCAGTATTGTTGTTCCCTGTTGATTACCATGTGAACCAGCTCCCCATATTCACTGTCAGGTATGTTATGACATTTGTTTGGAAACAGAATGCTGGATGTAGAGAATATGCAGGAAAGTGGTCACACTATAGTGGTCACGAAGAGTAGAGCATTGACAGTGTACTGAACGTATGAAATTGGAAAAGAAGTAAACCATTCAGACCCTCAAACCTGATCTGCCACTCAATAACATCATGGCTGATTTGTATTTCATACTCCATATCTCTATCTACCCCGATAACTTTGGATTTCCTTGCTTAATAGGTACCTAGCTACCGCTGTCTTAAAAATAGTTAATGAACCCATCTCCACCACCTTCTGAGGAAAAGAGTTCTAAAGTCGCACAACCCTTTGGAGAAGACAATTCTCCTCATCTCCGTCCTAAGTTGACCTTAATTTTCAAACAGTGCTCCCTTGTTCTGGATTCACTCACTAGAAGAAACATCCTTTCCACATCCACCTTGTGAAAACTGTTCAGAATCCTATACAGGATCAATCAGGTCACCCATCATTCTTCTAATCTCCTGTGGAAACAATCTCAGTCTGTTCAACCTGTCTTCAAGGGACAACCCAATTATTACAGCAATCAATCAAGTAAACTTCTCAATCGCCTCCAACACATTTACATCCTTCCTTAAATAGGAGACAAAACTGCACACAGTTTTAGAGATGTGGGTCACCGATGCACTGCAAAACTAAAGCATAACATCCTTACTCAGGTATTTGATGCAGTGTGGTCAGGAAGTTCTTTTTAATTTTTACCTCCGATACTTATAGTCAAAGCTTGAAACACTAAGTACTCAAAAATTCTGTTCACTGCTTAGTGCATGTTCTGTGTTGAGAAAGAAAACAGTTGAAATGAATTAAAAACTAGATAGTCAAAGTTACTTATATTAATTGCGAGAAATGACAGAGCAGTTAGTATGTTTGGGCTGTAGGTTGTGGAGTTTGTGGACACTGAGGCTGTCCCAACTGACCACATCTGCAGGAGATAGCTGCATATTGAACCACTCCAGCTCAGAGACATTGAGCTTTACTATGGGC